ATGCATATTACTTAAAATTCAAGATTACGAGTAATTATGCATAAGTACAACTTATTAAAGCTCGATTTTTGAATTTGTATAAATAACTGCGGATAAACATAATCAAGTAGAGGATGAATAACTCATTTTAAAATATAAAAATCTAAGATATAATTAGAATAATTATCGAGTTCCAAGAAAATAAATAATTATTATCTTTGTAAAAAAGTTTTATTATTAAACCAAATATGAATTACTTCATTATTGTACATATAATGAGGAATTTTAAATAGTTAATTTGATACTAATATCGATATATTTTTGTCAAATTTTTATAATATCTTCAAACATATATTTTATTCAAAAATAAAAACATCATCGTTTTCTCATGTGCACATGCTTAGAGATTTTGTACCCAAAAAAAACGTTCGAGAAAAAAACTAACATAATCCTAAGTCGAACCCGCCACTGCTCACCTCTTCCCACTAATCCAACCGTCCTCCATCGAAGATCTATCCACGACCGCTAAACCCACTATAAATCCCACCACCCTCTTCCACCGACCAACCGGTCCTCCCTCTCACTCTCTCAGATACCACTTCTCTTTGTTTCATCAAACCAGCAATCAATATTGACGAAAACTCGAACTCCAGTTTCCTTAATTTTATTTTATTATTGATTGATTTCAATTTCAATTAAAATCTATCGTAGAAACCTCCGCCATTAGCAAATTATATAGCTCCATTTTTTAATACAAAGTATTGTATATAAGCTTTTAAAAAGTGGTAAATAAAAATATTATAAAAAATATAAAATGACGAAAATGCCCCTCTTGTGACTAGCGTATGAGGGCACTTAACGACTGTTAAGGTATAAACGAAATCCCTAATCAATGAAAACCACGAGATTACAGATGTAAGATCGAAACTTCAAAGACGAAACCAGAGTCTATGTAAAACCATATAGGCAAAATAAGCATATTCTAAATGAAAACAACATTTTATGATAAGTAAAAAATTAAACTATGATTAAATTATGTGGCATTGGGTTTTCATGAGATCCGTGATTTTGTAAAGTTATAAAAAAAACACTGAACTTTCATAATAAATGTGAAGGTTCAGTGTTATTTAAATGGTCTCACGAAAACAGACTGATCTCATATAATCTCAAGTCAAATTATGTAAAATGTTAATTCTTTATTAAATGATAACTGAAAACTATGAGTATTTTTATTAGTTTTTTTTATTTTTGTAAATGCAAAGGGCATATTATCGGTGTAGCGCTGCCGAAGGTTGTTTGGCTCGAAAACAAGTGGAGCGAAAAAGATCCGACCCGAGTGTACTCATTATTACATACACTGGCGACCATAACCACCCAATGCCACCGAAACCCCATTTTTCAGTCGATGGCAAGAGCAACAACGCTATTAATTCCCATGATGAGGACAAAAACGAGAACAAGACCACGACCTATTCGTCTGTTTCTCCAACAGCCAACGAAGCCGTGGAGACGACAATGGTGGAGGAAAAGGACAAAGACGCGGACGACGACAATGTCCCCAACGTAGTTATGGATGATGATGTTTTTGAGGGATTGGACGAGATTATCAATTTATCTGACGGGATAAGCTGCTTCAAATAACGGTGGTTCCGACGGTATCGACGACAGCTTAGTGTTCCCACTGACAAAAATGGACTCTTTCCGACTGCATCTTCTTCCACAGCTTAAATTTCTAAATCCAGATAACATTTTTACTATCATAACCATAAAAAAAAGGTTGTTTTGAAATTTCAAGAAATTACCTTTTCTTTGGTATGTTGTAGTAGGTGCATCTCCGATATCATTTAAAATGTAACAATTATTCTCTTTTTATTTAAATTGTATTTGATTGTCAGACAACACTTTACAATACGTTAATTGGTCGTTGTTATGCCTTCCATACTTGGCGTTTTCTTTTATTTCGAAATGAAGTTTGTATTTTATTAAAAAGAATAAATAATAAAAACTCATTGATACAAAAATATAATGACAAGGATACAAAAGAAATCAATTCGTTAAAAAAATGAAAGATGATGAATATATATATATATATATATATACTATATTATAAAACATTTGGCTAAAACTCTTAAAAACTTTTAAAACTCTTAAAAACTCTTAAATCCGTTCATTCTTAAACGATTTCATCTTTATCTGATTTCATCCCATATCTGAATTCGTGTAACTAACT